CAGGACAGGAGATGTCCCCCACTCACAGATGCCATGGGGTCAGTTCTAGCAGCCTGACAGCGTTTGCTTCAGCCTGTTCCCACACCTGGCACTGTTACCTCTGTGCTTACACTGCGACAGACACGCTTGTGCAGGGCAGAGAGGGGGAGGGATCTGCTGTTTGGCTGTGGGAAATGTCCATGTGGCAGCTCGGACTGCTGGGTGGGAAGAGGTTCCTCTCGATGGAGGTCTTCAGCCCCTCTCCCTTGTTCCTCAAGTTCAGGCTGGGAAGGCTGAGGATAGCCATCTGTGAGGAGCAGACCCCTTGGGCCACATACCCTTATCTTCTCCAGACAGAGATGCTGCTCTTTGGGGAGGTCTCTGTAACCAGTTTGCAGTGGAGTATATGGGGTAACACCTTGGGTTACCACCACCATGTACCATCTTCCACAGCAAACCCCCCATGGATCTGCCAACACCAAATGGCTCTGAGCGTTCCTCAGCCCAGATGCCTTTGGTTCTTTTCTGAAGCCCTTAAGTCCTGCCTGGATGTTGCTGCTTCATGCTTTGTGGGCAGGAGTCTTGAAGCACAGACAGGCAGCTGCAAAAACACCCCTGCTCAGAGCAGCCCTGGGCTTTGGCAGAGCCTTGGAGGGGCTGGGGAAAGGGCTGGCTGGGCAGCACCGCACTGGGCTGGTGGCTGGAGCTGGAAATGACTGTCCAGTTCCTGCAGCTGAGCTGTGCTGGGATCTGCTGGTCTAAATAAAACACTCAAGTGCCTGGAGCTGGAACCTGCTATGGATTTGGTGTCTGACAAAGCTGGGCTATGTAACTTGAATAGAAAATAAACCCTGAGCCAGAGTTGGCAGCTCTTAAATCAACTTCTACTCGTATTTTTCTGCTGACATATGCCAGTAAATATTTTTAAAGACAGCTGACAGCGTCTTTGGGAAGATATTTTGTCACCTACTACAAAAATCTTCCATATCTTGCACAGGGCAAGATACAGACAAGGTCCCCTCTCCTCAGAGTTTAGGTGGCAACTGCTCTCCATCACCCATTGCCTCCCATGGCTGGTGGGAGAGCAGCCCAGCAGGGCTGGAAGTGCCAAGGAAGCTCTGCTGGGCTGGTTAGTGACCTTTGTAGTTAAAAAACGAGAAGGATTTTATTTCTAGTCTGAATTTATCTGGCTTCATCTAGCCACCAAGTCTCAGTCAGCTTTTGTCAGCCAGATTAAAGTTTTTTCAGGAGTCAGGAGTCTTTTCCTCTTGGATGTACTTGGAGACCTCAAGACACCTTTGTCATCTTTACAAATATGACCCAATTAGAGTTCCTGAGTAATGGAGATGGGTATAATGCCCTCCCTCTCCTCCTCCTTCCACCTTCTTTTGCACCACTTCCCGGCTGGTTTAATGGGCAGGAGGCTGGGAGCTACTTGGTTTTCCAGAAACACTGGAGGAAAACGGCGACCAGCCCTGCCACCATGGCCAGCACAATGAAAGAGACAGCACCTGCCCACAGACTGGGTTGGTGCCCCTTGACATGTTCCAGAGCCTCCGTGGGGATCATGTTGGTCAAGTTCAGCATGAAGCCCAGTGTCCATCCAATGTCTGTGTTTGCTGCCTGAGGTGAGAGAACAGAGGAGATCATCCAAAAGTGCCTCTCCCAGACACCGATAGCTTCAGTGCAAGGGACTGATGGGCATCAGTGAGCTGCCCCAGCTGGGATTTCACACATGGACCTGGCTGTGGTGAACCTCATCTTACCAGCAGCAGTTCCACGGAGAGCTTTCCTGTCCCCCCTTCCCAAGGGCTAAAGGGCAGCTGAACACAGACAACTGCTCTGGTCCAGATGTGCCTCTGTGACCTGCACAGGATCTTGGATCTGAGCTTTCACTCACCCACCCCCCCCTGCCCCCCGATCCTTCAGATTTGGTCACATTCTGGTTCAAATGGGTCATGGGGTGACGATCACCTCACTGATGCTCAAGTCAATTCTGCCCAACATCAGAGACCAAAGTGTCCAAATCCTGCTCTGAAATTCTCTGACCCCCTTAAAATTTCCTTACGTTCACACCAGAGTAAGTGAGAAACAAGCTGGCATGAGATGTTTGGGGGCAGGTAAGAAAGAGTGAAGCTGTGCTGGGATCACTGGGTGGCAGGTATGAGGTGGGGACATATTTCTGGTGCAGGGGATTCCAGAGATGCTGCTCCTGACCATGAGGTTGGGCCAGGACAAGGATGTGGTCGCTGCTGCCCGCCCACTCCCAGTGCCCCAGGAGGTGTTTACCTGCCGGCTGAAGTGGATGCTGCTCCACGTGTGCTCATTGAACTTGTAGCCATCAAGCAGCAGTGTCAAGATGTAAATGGCCGTGGAGCAGTACCTGTGTAGGTACCCCTTCTCCTGAGGGAAGGTCTCAACCAGCTGTGGGGTCACCAGGGGACATGGTGCAACAAGGAATGAAAGGGATGCTCAGAAACCCTCCCTGGCCCAGGGAACAGCAGGGTACGTGGTTCCTGGGCAGAGATTTGGGAGAGGACGAGCACAGGGCTCCTTGCTGCCCTTCACAGGGCTCTCACCTCTGCCCAGTTCTTCTTGCAGAAAGTCTGGACTGTGGAGTTGACGTCATTTAGAGACTGCTGGCTGGTCAGGTTCAGGAAGTGGAAGGTGTAGTAGAACCCAGCGAAGGCCTTGGGGATAAGGGCAGATGGTAAAAAATACATCTTCCTCACCCAAAAAACAACAAAAAAAAGACCCAAGAGACCCTCTTCCCTGGGGACAGAGTCCCAAGTAATTCCCAGGGTTCTGCATCCAGCACCCACTTGATGGTCTACAAGAAAGTCTTGGAGCCGGTCAACAAGCCCTGGGGCTTCTGCTTGCACTCTGAACTTGCTCCTTGAGACAAGATCTTCCCATTTCCCTCAGGGAGGGCTGGGACATCGCAGGAGGCAGAAGCCACCTCCCAGCATAGAAGAGGTTTGCAGATGGGACCAGCTATAGGATCCCCTCTCTCCCCACCCCTTCCCACAACCAGTGGCAGAGGAGACTCCCACTGTCCACCCTCCCCCACCACAGCCACGGGGACGGAGGCTCCTTACGAAGAATTGGCCCCGCACGGGCGGCTGATAAACCCCGTTGAACCCGCACGTCCTGTTGGCCCCACAGCTGAAGTTGAAGAGTTTCTGGATGGAGATGCTGCACAGCACTGGATCTCCCGTCCCCGTCACCGTGAGGACCTGTGTAGGGCTGGGTGGGCTCGGTGCATGGACACAGGGACTGTTGTAGAGGTCTGCCATGGTGATGTTCTCCTGGTATCCCCTGGGATAGCAGGGGTGTGATATCTGCTGGGCAGATGGGCTGCCCTGGAGAGAGTGTGAGCCATTAGTAGGGCTCGGGTGTGAGATGCCAGTGAGACCCCACCCCACAGCCCATCCTGTGCTTAGACATTCCCAAAAAGCAGGATCTAGATCCTAAGAGGATTTGAGGAGAAGCAGGATCATAGAATCACAGACTGATCTGGGTTGGAAAGGATCTTTAAAGACCATCTAGTCCAAGACCTCTGCAGCGAGCAGGGACACCTTCCACTAGACCAGGTTGCTCAAAGCCTCATCCAGCCTGGCCTTCAACACTTCCAGGGAGGAGCAGCCACAGCTTCTCTGGCCAACCTGGGCCAGTGTCTCACCACCCTCATTGTATTTCTTCCTTCTATCTAGTCCAAATCTCACCCTTTTTAGTTTAAAACCATTTCCCCCTGTCCTATCTCTACAGGCCCTGTAGTGGGCTCTGACCGAGGTGAGACAGGAGGACACTGGTTAGTGGTGGAGCAGTGTTGTCAGGAGGTGTGTTGGGAATCCTCTCTCTGGGCAGACACTGAAGAAGGGTAAATAAATTTAATCCCCATTAACAGCTCTCTATCATCTCTGCACTGAGCTGCGTGGAGTCTCAGTCCTCAGCCACACCTGCTGTCTTATTTAGGGGAGTAAAGACTGGAGATTTGATTGTCCTACCCAGGAGGTGCCAGATCATGTCCCCAGGTGACTGGACTCCCTGTCCTCTCCTAACTGGATGTTGCACCTATTGCCCAGTGGAGGACTTGGTGGCCTTTTAAACCACTTGTGTTTTAATGAAGCTGGTAACTGGAAGTCACCCAGCCAAGGAAACTCTTCATGCCCACGTCTGAGGGGACAGGGAAGAACCTAAAGATGTAGCTGGGCTTGGGAAATGATGAAAAATGCCTTTACATGTCAACATCTGGGGAGCAAGGAGTCCCAGCAGGGAACCACTGCCACCTTCCACCCAAATGAGAGAAGTTTTTGGTTCAGTAGATAAAATGTCTCTCTCTCAGGTTTTGGAATTTGTGAAAATTCCCAATTCCTTAAGGCTTTTTCCACAAGCACGCCCCAAATTTTTTGAAAACATTTTTTCACGGCAATGGGAAAGGGTTGAGCAGATCCTGGTGACCAGTGGCTGCAGTACCTGGTGGAGAGCTGCCAACAGCATCTTCAAGGCCTGTGCCTGCCCGTAGCAGAGGTAGCTGTGGGCGTAGAGTGAGTAGTTGGTGCCGTACAGCCTGTAGAAGATGGAGGTGTTCTTGTCCTCGATGGTGATTCCAGGCTGGAAGGTTATTTGGGTTGAGGCACCTCCAAGGTCCAAAGCTCCAAAAACCTCAGTGTCCTGTGGATGTTCCCATTTCTCTGCAAAGGAAAACTGGCCCCATAAGGCAGCAAGTGTTAGTCTGACCTGGAGGGAGTCACAGTCCCTGTCCCTTCCCTCAAAGTTTTGTGGGCTCAGAAGCCCTTGAGGGACCTTCCATGTTCTGTCTCCCTCTGTGATGTGAGGACAGCACCCACATGGACCTCCGTGTAGCACTGAGGTCTGGCCCCTTGGCTGCAGCACACCAGGGACTTTGAGGAGCTGAAGAGCAACACGCTCATCCAGGGTCTGATACTGCTGCATCCCTGTGACATCAAAACTGAGCTGTAAGTGGAGAGCACAGGGCCAGGCTGAGCTGGACACAAAGACCCTGATCCTGTTAATCGCGTCCGTGGGGTAGAACGTGCAGTTCATGACAGGCTGCGTTTATTTGGGTGACCAGTGCCCTAAAACTACATTTTTCTGTCCTCTGGGATTAAAGAAACCTGCACGTACCTCAGACAGGGCTATATACACCGCTCACCCCTCTTCTCCCCTCTCCCCCAGCCCGCACCTTCACG